CATTGGATTACGTTTGGAGGACGAAACGGTTGGTATATTGCCAAAGTGGAAATAAAAGGTGGTTCAATCACCAAGCTTTAAGCATTGACTTCTAATACAATATTTAGTATGTTATTTTGGAGAGATCTTTGTGATCACGTTAAATAAGTCAAACTTACATTACTTCAAGTCCCATGCGCATACTTTGGTGCGTCATTCCTTTTGCATCAAACGTAGAGGAGATGGAATGGCCGACTACCAAAATCGAGCCGCCGTTGTCTGGAAAAAGATTTCATTTTGTAAGTTTTCTGCTACCTGAGAGAATGGACAAACTGAGATAGTTTATCTTCTTCATGCTACGACGGTCAAAGCAAGCTTCAAATGAAAGTTAAGGAGCCGAACATCAAAAGTCTTCCAAGGACTAGAAACAGTCAGTTCGGATATAAACGAAAATGTTGTTACCCTTCGAAAGTTTGCAATTTTAACAGCAAAGAGGATGTTTTTCTTTTAAAATGGCAATATATGATGGCGCTTTACCATACTGTCTGCCGATTTAGTATCAATTTGGTACCGCCAGACGTGGTATTCATCGATTATCGACTTCCAAATTACTCAGCCAATCGCTTATTGGGTGGAGGAGCCTTAACACTAATCAAGGTGTACTATGCTCATCGACTTTTCTCTCTTCACAAGGTTATTTTTACCTCAAGCAAGGTAATTTGATTGTTTCGTTAGTGAGCAGATCAGCCTGGTGTCTTTCATGATCTACTTTGATGACATTGGCGTGTTCATAAATGAAAAGACGAAATGCTTCAAAAAGGACAATACAAAAGGCACATTTTGTGGCTTTGTGGGTGGTCATATCTCATTTTTTCCCATTAATGAAGGATTTTGGCTAATTGCGCGAGACAAATTGAGGTGATTATTTACCACTACCTGATTGTCCTCTGCTTTAGTCCGGGAGGGTCACGTGTGCCATAGTGAGTGCCTCCCCGAAGCAGGCTGCTGGGGTCCTGGACCTGCGATGTGTGCTCGATGCTGCACCTTTGAGGCAGATGGTGTCTGCGTCTCGGATTGTTCCGAAGCACCCGGTTTCTACCTCCCATCGAGCTCCGCTGTCTCTACACTCACATCGCAATTTCGTTGCTACACACTGCCTCTATCAGTTGGACAAGTGGCACAAATGCAAGACGAGGAGGTGTTAGCGGCTATTCGACCTTCAGTGAAGTGTGCTAGATGCCACGAAGAGTGCGCAGAGTCGTGTACTGCACCTGGGCCGGATCAGTGTCTGGGTGGATGTAAGCATTTCAAGGTGCGTTTGAGGTAGAATTTATCGTGTTCCCAAAAAATTTCCATTTCAGATGTCTGCTTTTTCCTTTTTTTATTACCTACATCAGACAATTTTTGCAGCTCCTAGTTTACAAAGAAAATTTAGTTGTCATTTTGGTGTGGCACTTAATCATGTACACATTTTAAAGTAGTTGGTGTTGTCCTTTTTTCACTCCATTTCTTCTTCTTAAGACGCCATTGTAAGCAAGAGCTTGGGAATGGCGTTGAATCAGAATCTCAGAAGCGCTACATTGCTAGAGACATTGGCGACACTTGGTCTCATTGGCAAAAAATAACGTGACTTTGCGCTTCCCTACAGTAAAAATGTTAAATTTAGGAATATTACTGCTTTAAGACACCATAGAATACTTATTGCGAATATAGTGGTGATAAAAGTGGCTGAATATAGCCTAAAAACGGATTTTGTAACTTAGTGCTTATGAAGGTAGAGCACACAAAGCATTGACTGTGTGCAGACTGTTTTAGTGCGGCAGTTCCCACTGGCGGGAGAAAGGGCTCCAACCTCCATACTTCTATTCAAAGAAATACCAATGACAATTGGATGGCTGAAAAGAGGATAAGGTTAACTGAAGGTCTTGAGGGTTTGTCTAGCCCTTAGTTAAGATTTCGCAGAAGAAGGATGAAAATACGACATAAGGAGGAGCCCTTTGTGCACATCCGCTTCTCCACGTTTTTTGCTTCATTCGTACTTAGAGTCTATTGTTGAAAGAAGTCTGACTACTACTGTATGCATTTCACAAGCAGTTCCAAAAAGGTTTTCGGTTTTTTGAAACTCACATCACCTTAACCGTCCATTTTTTGTGAAATTGCAAATATTTTTACTTGCCCACGTCCTTCGAGTTTGATGCTATCCATTGGGCTTTGAAGGAAAAAGATAACTTCAGTTAAATCAACTTCACCGCTGAATTATTTCGCACTTTTTTTAATCCGCTCATGAAGTACACAAATTCATCCGTTCCATCCAATGAACTACTTGTGTTTTGTATATGAATGTAACAGAAATTTGTTGCCTTAACAAAGCTACCACGTCTTCGATGCATGAATGCTTGCTTATGTTGTAAGGTCAGCCTCTTTCATTGAGAATGAGAGTGTGCGGCAATCACTGGAACTCAGTGATTGTGCGCCATGCATCAAAAGACACC